GGGGATGAGCCCCCAGCCCGGCCCAGGGCTCCTTCCCGCGGCCCCCCCCAGTTCTGTCTGTCCCTAGGGACGGGCACCCACCGGTCCCGGGCTCCCCGTCCTCCTCCTCCCTTCAACCTCGGTGCTGCCGTCGGAGACCCCTCCCAGGCAGCGGCGTGAGCCCGCCCGGGTGTCCGGGGGCAGAGGGTGGGGGTGTCCGGCCGTGGCCAGGCCCAGTGTCGGTGGCACAAAGGCCCCGTCCGTCCATCACACGCCCGCTCGCCGCCGCGTATTTTTAGCCCGGCGTAGCCGCTGTTGCTCTCGAGCACCTGCCCCGCGGGACGCGGGTGCTGCCGCTGCCGCCGCCCGAAATCCCCCACGCGCCGCCCGCACGGCGGGGAGGCACCGAGCCCCCGCGGCCGGGAGGGACAAAGGGGCACGGCTCAAGGTCACTGTGGCCGCCAGGCCAGGGTGCCACAGTCCCCTGGCTCTTGCTTGGCCATGCCGGCAGGCTCCGGCTGCGCTTGGGCTTCAGTTCTCCACAGGGACGTGGCAGTGTGGTCCCGGCACGGCCACGGCCCAGGGTGCTTGAGGAGGCAGCTCTGTTCCCAGCTCCCGGCACCGCCGGTGCTGGCACTGAGTAATTTGGCAACTCGTGGCAAGGTAGAGCCGCGGCGGCACGGGGCCGGAGGAGCACGTGCCTGGGACGAGTCTCGCTCCGGTTTTGCTCGTGGCTCTCGCAGGCGCAGGGGACGGAGTTCAGATGTGGCACAGGACGTCTGCGTGCCGGGAAGCGCGGCCATGGCCGGCGAGTGGCCGCTGCTCCGGGGCAGCTCCGTGTGGGCAGCCCTGCCTGTGCAGAGAGGGGAGGGTCCCAACACCTCCTCTCTGCGCAGGCAAGATAGAGATGGCTGGGGTAGAGGAGGGGGAGCTGAGGCATGGGCAGAGGCTGGGCAGTGCTTAAGTGGCTGACCAGCTCCTGCCGCCCCGGCGCTGGCTCCCCTCGGAGGCAGCAGCGGCAGCTGAGGCGCAGCCAGCAGCCTGGGGCCGTCGCGGTGACGGCACGTTCATAGCGTGAGCTGAGCGCGGCAGGGCTGTGAGCGGATGCGGCCGCCGCCACAGCGAAGCGCGGGGGAAGCGGCTCTGACCTGGCTGCCCAATCGGCAGCAGCACCGGCCCGTGATGGAAACGGGTTCCCCTTTCCAGAATTCGCGGGATAGTGCCGTAGCTGCCGGCTCCCGCGTGCTGCCAGCTGTCCTGCCCCCGCGGCGGGGGCTGCCCACATCCACAGCTGGCCCTGGATCCAGCCCCGGGTCGGTCCCTTTGAGGGCCCTGTGGTGTGTGCGCTCCACCGGCCCGCGGGCAGCAGAATCAGGGTGATTGCCCGTACGTGGCACTACCGTGGCGGTGGTGCAGCGAGCTCCCTCCCTGACTTTGGCGCAGGTGAGGTCACGCTGAAGTTGTTGCTGGTGGAGCCCTGTCCGTCTGGGGGCCGGCTGCTGGTTGCACGGGGCCTTGGGGGGGGGTGGGGTGGCTCGGTGCTGCCGGGGGGGATCCAGGCCGGTGTGCCAGGGCGGTGGGGGTGTTGCGAGGCCTGGCTGTAATGTGCCGGTTTCTCCGGTGCTTGCCAGCGGGGTGAAGCAGAGTTGAGCTGCTCGCAGCCCTGCATCGCCCCAGAGGACCTGCAGCCCCTGGGGAAGGGGAGAAGTGTGGGGGCTCTCGGGGGCGGCCAGCAGAGCCTGTTTGCCAGCGTTTCGAGGAGCGAGGCTCTGCCTGCCAGTCCCGCGGGAGGCTGCCCCGGAGTGCTGGGGACACGCGGGTCCCCTCTGCGCCTGGGGACCCCGTTGGGCGAGGGGCCCCTCTGCCGCGCAGTGTGGACCCCGGTGCCACTCGTGCCCTGGCGCTGGCCTGGTGGCTGCCTGCTCCTGCCATCATGAGGCGCCGGGCACTCCCTTTGCCCACGTCTCTGGTGTCCCCGGGTGGGGACATGCCCTGGCCCCCCGCGGGGGATGCACAGGGTGTCTCTTCCAGTGCCCTCCCTGTGGGTCTCTTATCTGCGGGTGCTGGTATCCCGGTATCCGCTGCCTGCAGGGCCAGGCTGGGCTATCGGGTCCGGCAGGCCCCTTCCCCCTCCAGCAGCAGGGCCCAGCCTCCCTATCTCATTAGCTCGAGATTAATGAGGCTCCTGCGCTGTCTTTAACTCCTTCCTGCTCATCAGCTCCTGCCGCAGCTCCGCTGACCCTCTCCTCCGCTTGTCCCGGCAGGTTTGCGCCAACGCCTGCCAGAAGCTGAGCCGGCCGAGGACTAGGGACGCCTGGCCCCGAGCGGGGGGACACCACGTTGACCCCGAGACTGCCGCCCCCCGGAAGGTGCCTGGTCGGCAAGGGAGGGGGCGATGCACCAGGCTGCAGCCACTGTCCGTTGATCCTGCAGAGGTTTCGGCACCTGCCCAGGACACGTTCACCGACGGCAGCAGCACCCTGATCCCGACCAGCGGCCCTGTGCCCGTGGCTCCCACTGGAGCACTTGAGCGAAGGAGACGTCGGGCCAAGACTGACGGGGGTCGGGGGGCACGTCCTTCTGCCCTGACCCGGCGGCGGCGATTCCTGCCCCGACACCCCGACGGCGCTGCGGACCCTCCGCCGCCCTCCCCGCCCCCCCCGGGCCCCGGCAGCCCCCTTGCAGGGCTGGCCCCCCCCGGCACTGCCCAGCCTTGGCCTCCAGCCCCGCTGGAGCGCGGCAGCCTGCCGGGCGCTGCCCCCCGCGCCTCCCGGGCGTTGCCCCCCGGGTGCATCGCCCCCCGCCCCCCCGGGGACCCCCCACCTGCCGGCAGAGCCATGAAGCTGCAGGCGGTGATGGAGAACCTGCAGCGGCAGCAGCGCGCGCGGCTGCAGCAGGCTCTGGAAGCGCGGCAGCAGGAGCAGCAGCAGCACTCCACGCCGCCCCCCGCACAGCCCCCGCCGGCCCCGGGGCAGACCCCCACCAGCACCCCGGCCCGGGGCCGCGGCCAGGATCCAGCCCCGGCACCCTCGGAGGAAGGAGCGGAGCCCGAGAGCGCGCACATCCAGCGGGCGCAGATGGCTGCCCTGGCTGCCATGCGGGCAGCGGCCGCCGGCCTCAGCCACTCGTCCAGCCCGGGGCTGTCAGACGAGAGCCAGGCCTCCGAGGAGGAGGAGGAGGAGCGCGGCGAGGAGGAGGAGGAGGATGGCGGGTACCAGCAGGAGATGGGCTCTGAGGAGGAGGAGGAGGATCTGTGAGTATATGCTAGCCCGGACTACCAGCTCTTATGGATTCGGGAAAGAGGCAGGGATGCGGTCCGGCCCCGGCGGGTTTTGGCACGTCTGGTCGGGGACGCAGGCTTCCCTTTAGGGCTGGGGAGCGGTGGTGGAGGCTGTGCCGAGCAGCAGGGTTCGTGCAGCTCGGGGCAGGGAGGCGGGTTAGCACCGTCGGGACGTCCCGGAGCGGGAGTTGCTGAGAGCAGCAGCTTGGCTCGGCAGCCGTGATTCCTCATGCTGGGCTGGCGTGGGGCGACATTTCGTCTCTGCGCAGGGAGCCACGTGGGGCCGTGACACAGGATCCTGGTCTGGCTTTAAATTATGCAGGACCCTCACGGCTGCCTTCTCCCAGCCCACGTCCTTGCCGGGGCAGGGAACAGGCTGGGAGCCATCTGGCAGAGCCCTGCTCACTGTCAGAGCTGCTGTCTTGGGATGCTGGCGGCTGGCGGTGCCCTGTGGGGCTGCCACCCACTGACGGGGGTGCACCGGGGCTTTGCTGGGTTCCCCATGTGCCAGGTGGGTGGTCCCAGCCCACATGGCTGTGGGGCTCCTGTGGGGCAGGCAGGCTCAGTGCTCTGCCCATGCAGCGCTGGGTGCTGCTCAGACACAGGGAGAGGGTGCCTAGAGGTGGGGGGGGTTCATTAAAAGGTTCTCCCACCTGGAGGGATGGGATCTGGCCTGTGGGGCAGGGGGAGAGCTGGGCCATCGCAGGAGAGCATCCCGCAGGGGATAGGGATCGGGTTGGAGGGGCCAGACCCCCACCTAGTGCGGGAGCAAATCTCTGCTCTCTCCCTGCTCTAGGAAGGGCAAGTGGGATGAAGATGACTTTGAAGAGGACCTGGGTGAGGAGGAGGAGGAAGAGGAAGAGGAGGAGGAGGAGGAAGAGGAAGACTATGAGGAAGAGGAAGACATGGGAGAGGAAGGGCTCAGCTCAGCAGAGGCAGTGCGAGCGGGTGCGGGATCCCTGCTGCTCCGCAAACCCCCGGCACCCCAGCACTACCGGGGCGAGCCGCAGCGGCTGCCGGGTGGGCAGGAGCGGCTCCCCTCCGGACTGGGCCACGCACAGCCCCCGCCACCGGCACCCGACCATGGCGACTGGACCTACGAGGAGCAGTTCAAGCAAGTAGGTGCCCGCCGAGACGCGCGTGCCGCCCCCCCTGCCCTGTGCCTGTCCCTCCTCTCCTCCTCGGCTCTGCCATGCGTCCCTGCGTCCTCGCCGTGGTGAGATGCCTCTGGCGGTGCCACCTCCGGCAGCGTTCTTCTTGTATCAAGCTGCCGTCATTGCCACTAAGAAAGCGTGGGATTTCTCTGGGGTTTTAGTGCTTGGGCTCAGCCTCACCCCCTCCCCTGTCACTTTGGTCGGTGGCTCCAGTGGGATCCTGTGTCCCAGTTGGCACTGTGGCCTGGCCCCGGTGCAGGTGGGTGGTGTGATGGGTTTCACCACAGGGACTTGGGAGAATTCTTGATGAAAATGATGGAAAAAAACCCACCCCAAACTTGCAAATCTGAAGGGACTCTTCGGTTTCCTCTTCCCCACCCTCCAAGCTGTTTTTGGTTGGGACCTGGCTTGCTTCCCATCACTGCAGGCGTGATGCCTGGTGGGACAGCTCTGACCCCGTCAATGTTTGGGGACAGAGCTACCCCACTGCCACTGCCGAAATGCCATTGAAGAGTGAAACCGGGGTGAAAGCACCCCGGCTGCCCCCTCTGCCACCTTCTCCATGCCGGCTGAGCCGGGCTGGCAGGAGGCAGGCACACTCCCGCTTTCTCCCAGTGCTGGAGCTTGCTGTGCCCCGCTTTCGGCTAATAGAAGGAAATGTGCTGCAAGCCGGAGCTCCCCGGGGGCTGCCCAGCTCCTTTGATGTGTGTGTTTAAATACATCTGAGTTTACGGCTGGGGGAAGGGACGGGAGCTAACAGCAGCAGATGGGACCCAGATGGAGCGGCCGGGACACAGTGGCCTTTTGGGAAGGATGCGACGGCCCTGCCCCTGCCCCTTTGGGGCAGGGGCTGTCGCATCCTTCCCAAAAGGGGGAAGGGACTGCCAGGATCTGCCGGCACATTTGGATGCAGGCAGCTTTATGACGGGGCTGGCAGAGAAAGCGCAAGCAAGCGCAGAGCGTGCAGCTGCCCTCCCTGGTGCGCTCCTGCCCGGCTGCGGGGAAGGAGGGATGCTTCTGCCCCGCACATCCCTCGTGCCGCTGCACCCACGCCACCTCCTCTTCTTGTGGTTTCTCTCTTTTTGTGCTTCCTGCCATCGGGGAGCGAGGGGCCAGGGACGTGATCTCATATCTGTGAAAAGGCTTTTTCGATACCGCAGCCGTGATCTTCCTGTTTGTCACCGTTTTGGTGCCGTACCGGACACGTGCGCCAGCTCCGGGGACTCGGCAATCGCTCCCGGCCCTCAGGATCCAACAGGAAAATCTGGGGCTGGGTGGTTGGCAGTGCCTGCACCATGCCGCGCTGGTGCAGTGGTCTGTAGATGTACCATGGACCACGGCGTAGAGTCTCCCGGCTCCCCTGCCGCAGCCACAGCACTTAGGGACACCAGCCCGAGTCCCAGCGCATCCTTTTCCCCCTCCCCATTTCTTGCCAGCAAAAGGGGATGAGCCCCCTCTCCCTCCCTTTTCCTTCTTAGTGGAAAGCTTCCCCGGGGTCGGCAGGGAGAGCCTGGCACGGTGGTTAATCGTGGAAGCAGCCGGAGAGGGGAGGAAAGCGGCTGTTGCCGCTGCGCCGTGGGCGGAGGAGAGGAGACGAAGCGCCCGGCCAGGAGAGGCTTTCCCCGGCACGTCAGCCCGCCAGCGCGCCGGCGCTTGGATCGCGGCCGCTGGACCCGGGCCAGGGGGTTGCTCGGCGCGGCGCTGGCCGGGAGCTCCTCCTGGCCGCCCTCCAGCGCGTGCCGCCGAGCGCTCCAGCTCCAGCCCCAGCCCAGCTGGCGCAGCCGGGCCGGCGCAGCCTGGGAAGGAGCAGCAGGAATGTAAACAGCGAGTGCCGGCGTGGGGCGGCCGCCGTGGCCCTGGCGCTGCTTGGCAGGGGATGCATTACCCCTGCCCCTGCTCCCACCGCGGCCGCCCCTTTGCCGGGGTAGAGGCGCGTTAGGGGAAACCCTGGCAGCACCGGGGTGCTGGTGCACCACGGCCAGGTCCCCCTGCGTGGGAGAGCCGGTGGGGACGTGTGTGTGGCCATGCCGGTGCTGTGCCTTCCCACCGTGGTGGAGAAACACCGCTCGAGGAAGGGGCTATTTCGGGGTTCCTCTTTTTTTTTTACAAAGGAGCTCCTCGCCGCTCGGCACTGGAAGCTCCTCTGCTCTCCCACAAGCTTGCGGGGAGCGTGTGGCCTCCTGCGTGTGTCGGCTGAGCCGGGCCCCCCGGCACTTTCTGGGGCCGAGCTGTGGCTGTGTGTGCTTGGTTTGGGGGAGGCTGGTGACTGATTTCTTTCTCCCTGCCTCCAAGCGGGCTCGGGGCCCCCCCAGGCAGCCCAGGGCTGGTGGTCCGGCCCCCGCTGCCTCCGGGGCTCTCTGGGTCTCCCTGTGGCTGCGGTTTGGGTTCAGTTCTGGATGTGCTGGTGCTGGTGAATGGCCCAGCCTGGTGTTGGTCCCCCGGCATCCCCGGTCCAGCTCTCTCTGTGCTCCAGGACGCGATCCTCACCGGGCAGTGCTGCTGTCCGAATCCCCGTGCCCCATGCCTGCCGGGGGGCTGTCCCCGTCCTCCACCGCGGGGTTTTATTGACCCATCTGGGACAGATTCCTGCAAACCGGGGGCTCGGCTGGGTTGAGCTGCGGGGGGCCGGGAGGAGGAGGGGGCCCCGTTCAAGGGGGGAGGAAGGGGAGGGCGCGAGGAAGAGTTATGGAGGTTAGGGAGGTTAGGGAGCTGGCGCGTGGCACCTCCCCATCCCCGGGGACGGCTACCGCGCAGGCAGAGGTCAGCTCGGCGGCTGACCCGGGGCACTGCCGGCGCGGGCAGCAGAACAAAGGAGCCCCCGGCATGGTGGGGGGCTTGGGGGGCAGCGGCTGCCGAGGGCACGATGGCTCCTCGGAGAGGGGGGACAGGGGCGGTTTTGGGGCGGGAGGAAGCTCTCCGTGGGGAATGGCTGCCGTGTCCTCCTTGGCTGGCCGGCGGTGAGGGCAGGCTCGCTTTTGTTTTGATCTTGTGCCTGTTACAGCCCCACCGGCAGTGGCACAGGAGTGGAGGGGTCTGGCGGGACGTCGCCCCACGCTGCCACCATGCCGGGCTGGGGGCCGTGTTTGCTCTTGTTTGGGTTTGGGATCATCTCTAACCTCACCCCAAAAGGCACGACGGGTCCCCGGGGGGCCGGGGCAAAGCCGGCGTGTCCAGGCTGCTGGCCTGAAGCTGGACTCGGCCACGGGGGTCTCAGCTGCTTGTGGGCAGCTGGGGGGCTGGGTGTGAGCCCCGGCACCCACCCCCCAGGGCACCATGGCTGGGTGCTGGGGCTTGTTCCACGGGCGTTTGGTCGCTCCGGAGGGCGATGCTCGCGAGGGGAGCCACGCTTTGACAAGCCGCCAGAGCACGAGTGGCTCAGCCAACCCTGGCCAAAAATCCGGCGCTGCTGCGTGCCGCCACAAACTGCTGCGTAATGCCTGGCTGGTGAGCTCCTGCTGTCGTGGGGCTGTCGGGGAAAAACCTGCTTTGATGTCCACGCCCCAGCCCTGGCGAGTGCGTGGGGGGGGTTCTGCTGCTGCCCTGCAGAGAGCCCCCCTCCTGACCTTTCTGTTTCGGTACCGCTATTACTGCACCCGACTAATACCAGGAGCGTGAGCCCTGGGTGCGTCAGCAGCCCACGAGGCTGGAGTTTCCTGCTTCTGCCCCTTTTGGAGTTTCCTCTGCTGCCTGCGACAGGCAGCGGCTGCCTGCGGTCCCTTGGGCACATGCACCCCGGCACCGTGTCCCACGGGAGGGCAGCTGGGGGGGGTTCCATCTCCCGGTGCTCCTCCTGGCTGCAGCAGCCACTGGGCCCCCTTTGGGGTGTCCCTTTTGGGGTGCTGCAGGCTGATGTTTAACCCTCCGTCTCTGCTGCCGTTCGCAGGAAGCGTCGGAGGCTAAAGCCGACGCGGTGCTGGGGGGCAGCTGTGCCAGCGGTGGGGTGCCGGCAGGGTTCTGGTGCTTTTGCGGGGGTGAGAGGTTTCTTAAGCTGTCCCAAGTGGGGACGTCTGAACCGCACCGGTGGCCATGTGGGGGGCGAAAACCTCAGCCCTTATCTTGCACTGAGCAGCGCTCCCCTGAGATATGGCGTTTCAAAGTGCAACGGTTGGGGAAAAAAAAATAATAAACCGAAAGCAACTCTGCAACCTTGGCAGGCGGCAAGGCAGGGGTGAAACTGGACCCCCTCCACCCTGCCTGGTCCCAGGCCTGGAGACAAGCCAGGGCCACGCATGGGGCAGGGCCGTGGCAGTTGCCAGCAAGATGAAGCTGGGATTTTCTTGGGGTACCTGCGGGAGGAGCTGGAGGAGCCAAGGAACAGCTCATTTCTCCTCCGAAGCCCCACAGCTTGGAGCCCTGTGCAGAAATCCCGGGCTCCGGTTAAGGTGTGTGGGGTATTCCCTCTGCCCCCGCGGGCAGCAGAGCCCCCGGCGCAGGGCCCTGAACCCCTTTCTCCCATGGATTATTTTCCTTTAAAAAGCCCGAAGCTGGCCGGGGGAGCGGGAGCCCTGCAGCCTCTTAACGAGGGCCCATTTACTTTCTTTAAAATATTGATTAGAGCTTTATTGCATTAGCCAGCCGAGCGGATGAGCTGCCCCCGGGGAGGGTGAGGGGGCCCCTGCGTGGGGAAAGGGGCACCCGAGTGTCATTGCCCAGCCGGGGGCCACCGTCCCCCCACCCCAAAGGCGGTTCAGCTTTGACGGGTGCTGCGGCGTGGCAGGGGCACAGATAAAGGCCAGCGCCCTGGGGCCCCCCCGGCCGGGCGATTCTGTGCCGGGAGGAGGTGATTGCGGTGCCTGGCCCGGCCGGTGGCAGATAACGGGGGCAAGGAGGGGACTGGAGCAGGACAGGGCACCGGGAGCTGTGGTTCAGTCGCAGGTGGACCCCTCCAGGGAGAAGGGCCGTGTCCTCCCCCGTGACCCCGGTGCAGCCATTGCCCATCTCGCCCCACACCACCATCCAGCTTG